GTTCTATATTCAGGGATCACTCTGGGCAGAGGTTGGGGGTGGGACTGGGGATCAAACAAAATTTAGCAAAGCACAAGGCAAGTGCCTCCATCTTGTACTTTGTGGTGCCTTACTTCTAAGTTTTTTTTCCAGAAGGTCTTTAGGATTTTTTATTAGCATACCATTTGCAAATAGTTTTCTTCCTTAAACTTCTAATTTATATTTATTGACAATTTAAACTGATTTTTGATGAAGGTACAAAAGCAATTCAGGGAGAAATTTCTTTTTCAATAAGTGACACTGGAACAGCTTGACATTATTGAACCATAAACAAACATAAAACTCTCAAACTAAATCCCACATCTTTTTAAAGAGATAATTCCAATTGGTAATAGATGGAAACACAAACTATAAAACCATGACGTTTTAAAAACATCACAGGAGAAAAAAATTTAATATCTAGGGCTAGGCAAACAGATCTTACCCTAGATTGCAAAATAAAACCTATAAAATGAAAACGATAACTGTAAGTCATTAAAATTGAGAACTTTCTTTGTGAGACAACCTATTAAGAGAATAAAAAGACAAGCTCAAAAGTAGAAATAATATTTGTAAGTCACTTTTATATCAAAGTACCAGTATAAGTATCCAATGACAGATGTATGGATTATGAAAGTGTGGAATATATACATAATGGAATACTATGTAGTTGTAAGGAACAATGAAATCACGCAATTTGCTGGTTGGAAGATATCATGAATGAAGTAAGCCAGAAGAAGAAAGACAAACACAAGATGATCTCACTTATCTGTAGTATATACTGGATTAAGAAATGTATTGTAGTAAAGGCAGATGTATAGATCATCCTTGACCCAGTGTTTAGAGGGGAAAAGAACAAAGAAAGAAAGAAATCAAGGGGGTGGGGGAAAGAAGAGAACAAGAATTAATGGGTTAGGCATTAGGGCTTCAGTTATACCAGTGATATAAATGATTGGTATAGCCATGTATCCAGAACACAGACTCAACAACACTGAGAACATGAAATCTGAGTTGCAACTACTGGAACTTTGTAATGTGCCTGTCAAGTTGACAAGAGGGGAAGGGGGTGGGAGAAGGGAGAGAATCTGGAAACATTGGTGGAGGGATTGGTGTTGAAATATTATATACCTAAACTTTTTATATCACAGTTCTTTAATTAAGTAAAAAAAGTATTTTAAAAAACAAACTAGTCTTAGTATTAAAAAAATATATATCTTAAAATCCTAAGCAAGGATTGAGATTTTTCAAATCTCTAGAGCAAAAAAATAAAATCACACAATCCAATTGGACGATGGACAAAAAGACATGAAAAAACATTTCATGAAATAAAATATACAGGTGGCAGCATAACTGCATAAAAAGGTACGCGAATATTAGGTAAGTGTAAGTTAAAACTACAACAAGATATTGTATGCTAATCTGAATGGCTTAGAAGAATGGTTGGGGAGAAGGTGGAGATACTGGATAACTAATACATTATTGGTGGGAGTGTAAATGGTGCAGCTACTTTGGAAAAGTCTGGCAGTTTAAAAAATAACACTAAATAGACAGTGATTATATGAACTAACTATTATACTCCTAGGCATTTATCCCACGAAAATGATGTTATATTCACAAAAACCCTTGCACCTGAATATTTGTATAAACTTCACTCACAATAGCTCAAATTAAAAACAACCAAAATGTGCTTAAATGTATAAATAATTAAACAAATTTCAGTACTGCATAACATGGGAAGAATAACTTAATTGATTAGAAACAGAAAAGAACTTTACAAGTTTTGAAATTAAAAAAAAATTGTAGAGAGGCTGGAGCGATACGACAGTGGGGAGGGCGTTTGCCTTGAATGTGTCTGACCCTGTATCCCATATGGTCCCCTAAGGACTGCCAAGAGTAATTCCTGAGTGCAGAGACAGGAGTAACCTCTGAGCATGGCTGGGTGTGACCCAAAAAGCAAGCAAGCAAGAAAGCAAACAAACAAGCAAAAACAGACATTATAGAAATAGGGCTGGTGTGATAGTACATTGCCTTGCTCATGGCCATACTAGGTTCCATCCCCTGCTTCCCATATGGTCTGCTGAGACCACCAGGAGTAAATATGTAAAGTAAATGTGTAAACTCTGGAAAATAACTTTTCTAGTCAACATAATTCACTGGAGATTCATAATGTTTTTGCATGTATTGTAATCTGTTCTTTTCTGTTCCTAAATAAGTAATTCCTCCCTGAATGCAGATCCAGGAGTAAGTTGGGTGTGGCCGTAAACACTCCCCTTCTCCAAATTGTAGAAATAAAGGAAGTGTCATGGGTTAAGAAGAGGATGGCAAAGGAAGTAGAAGTAGTTTTTAAAAGGCAACTGAAAGCTTCACAATTGAAACTCAAAAAGAATAACAGGAAGCTGACTCTTCTCAGATGGGACCAGTCTATGAGCTAAAATCTATGGGGTATTCTGAGAAAACTCAACAGCCTCCTCCTACACCTTCCAGCTCCACAACTGAACCTCATCAAACTGCCACAGCACCAAGTTGTTCCAGATCTATAGCTCCTGGATCTACGACCTCTCTAGATTTCACAGCACTGTCAGTCCAACAGGGTCACAGCAAACCTGAGGGGAAATCTGCATAGAAGGCCACCAAGCTCAGTGACAGAAGGCCCAATAGCACTAATCATCACAGCAGATCCTCAGACAATGACTTTAGAGCACCATTGTGACATAGAATGATTGTCACAAATTGACTCTTACTGACCTATTTTGATAATTTTGTTTGATTCTGTGTTGTAACAAACAATATAAAGTAAGTTTGTGCCTGATAGGCTGGGTTGGTGTGTGGGAAACCAGGGATATTGGTGGAGGGAAAATCACACTGGTAGTGGGATTGATATTACGATCTCACCTAATGCCTTAAAAACTATACAGTTGAACAGAATGAACAACTTGGTAAATCATGGTGCTATTATTAAAAAAAAAATAGAGGCAATGGAGGGATCTTCATGGTGATGGGAATGGACTCTGAGCCAGAGAGAGAATACACATGATGCCCTGAGCACCATGAGGTGGCCCAGATAAGCTCTAGCACACCAGGACTTGAGCATCACTGCATCCTCAGGCCCTTGCACTAACCCCCGAGCTAATCTACTAAGAATTGCTGGAAATGACTCCTGGGCCTCCGGAGCACCTGGGTGGCCCAGATATCCAAACAAGTAGCCAACAAACCCAAATGGGCGCTGTCTTCCCTACACCAGGATCAGTACTCTGCTTGTGAACTTTAAGGATGATTTGGCAGGTTGTTCCCATTGGGAGAAGTTGGGTGAGAAATAGATATCATCTCTCTATATTTTCTCTTACTACATATGGCTCTAACAATGATCCATTAAAGTGGTTTCTTTTCCTTAAGGATTATTAAGATTAGTTTGAAAACCACTGTGCCCTGGAATGGGCTCTTGAAGCCACAGAAAAAGCTTTCAGCTTTCAGGGTAGACTGCATGCTTTACATGCATTAGACCTTGTGTCCAATCCTGGAAGGAAAACAAAAAATTTTCTATAGTGATGGGGTGCAAATCTATTGGCTAGCCCTGGGTAGTGAATATTTATAAGGATATTCAACATATCAATGTGGCCTAATCGACAAGCCTGCTTTATGTGCTCAGTAAGGAAAAGAAAAGAATAAAACAGAAGACACCAGACCTCACTACTGCTGCTTGGATCTGAGATGAGAATAAAATGATACAATGAAAATGGGGAAAATTTCTTAACCTTGATGATAAGATATTTTTTCATTTATTGTAGCACTCTGTACAAAACTAGGATATAAAACCAATGGAAATGCACAACAACAGATAAGTGGATAAAGATGGTTATACATATATATATAAATATATATGTAATGCGTGTGTGTGTATTCCGGCATGTATCCAAATACACATTGGAATACTATGCAGTCATAAGAAAAGATGAAATGACACAATTTGCCACTATATGGATGGAACTAGAGGGTATCAGGCTGAGTGAAGTCAGGTAGAAGTAAAAGGACAGGTACAGAATGATCTCACTCACGTATGAGATGTGAAGAAATGTAATAAGGATGACCAAAGGAAGCAACTGAAGGGTCAGACCACAGAACTGAGTTTCCCTCAGGAGTGGAGGAAGAACAGTGACTTTTGTGGTCCCTGAGGAAAGAGGTGGAGGGAAGCAGGCACTCTAGTGGGTGTGCTATTGGAACAATGTATGCATGAAATTATCACTAATATTTTAAATCATGATACCTCAATAAAAATGGAGGAGGAGAAATTACTTATTTCCCAATCAATAAGAAGACTAGTTAGGGGCTGGAAATGGAAGACATTGGAACTGTGGGTTCACTGTGGGTTCTAGTTTCAGATTGAATGTGTTTTTTCTGGTCCTGTTGCCTTTCACTGCCCTTACCATGAAATAGATCTGGGAGACAGTGTGATACTTGTGCAGGAGATATGTTTTTGGAGGGAGATGAAATGTTCCCCAAGCCTGTCAAAATTATGGATGACTGGAAGAGAGTATGGACTGATAACTATTGGATAAATAATACTTCTTAAGAAGGATTTTGAAGGTGTAACATCCAAATAGAGACAGCAGCTAGGGGACACTAAGAAGATACAAGGCTCCCCACTTCTCTTCTAAAGCACTTAGGATCCTTACTGGAGTAAGAATGTGTCCATGCACCCTCCCATTGGGACTGCATATGAGTTCTTTATTCTATGAGGGGAGGGAAAAGTGAATGCTGGGGAATTATATCTAAGTAGCTGGGAATCAAATTCCATGTTCCTCCATAGCTGACAGGTCAGGTTAGGTATTCTAATAAGGAGCTTTAGGTGAAGTTAGGATGCTGACCTTTCCCAGTCCTTCACAAGACCCTGTCAGTGTGTCTGCCTGTTGCTGATGGTTGGAGAAGGTCCTTGAGGAAACCCTGGGTCAACATCCCCCCCCACCACACCGTCCTTTTATGCTTACCTTCAACCACGCTACACACGTTGGCATATACATCCAGTATCTTTTTCCTTCGACTTTGAATCTATGGAAAAGTGAAAATAATGATAATTTTCAGAAAAAAGAGACAAAACCTTTGATTTGGAATTGGCAGATAGCTGCTTTTTACTGCTTTTTAAATCAGAAATAATGATTCAAGGTCTCACATGAACATGATGCCTGCAGTTCACAGAAAGAACTCCTTTAACCTGTTTTCCAAGCATCTTCCCTACAGACTGGAGGGTTTCCTTAATTTCATTGAATATTCCAGCTTGAGACACTCACAGGCCAGTCCTGGCATCAGTGCATTTGGAAGGATGGTTAGAGGGACTCCTGTGTGTCTAAGTGCAGCTGGAAGTTGTCTGCAGTAACACAAACTGGCATGGCATGCTCTCTTCACAGACCAGGGCGGGTGTCGGCGTGTGGAAGGTGCACAGCGCTGAGCATGTAGAGAGCTGTTGAAAGCTAGCCTCCTTCCACCAAGCCCAGGTCCTAGCCAGTAAGAAGTCTGCTGCAGGTCACTGAACTGGGTCCAGCTGGATCCGTCTTCCGGTTCCACACAGCTTTACTCTAGTTGTGTGCTGCCTGGCAGTGCAGCTGCTAAGGGCCAAGCTCTCCCTCCCAAGAACATTTTCAGGTAGGCTGGCCCAGATGTCTCTTCGCTTAACCATCTCCTTTAAATGATAAACCACTCATTCAATTTTCCCATGAAAAAATGTAAGGCAGTTCAAATGTAATTACAGGCAATTTAAACTCCCCCCTTTGACTATAGTTTAATCTATGAGCAACGTGAGGACAGCGCAGTGCTACAATTAAAAATATATAATGAAATGGGCACTGGTGAAAGATGGGTACCCGATCATTGTATGACTGAAATGCAAGCACGAAAGTTTGTAAGTCTGTAACTGTACCTCATAGTGATTCACTAATAAAAAATTAGAAAAAAATATATACATAATGAGAGAAGTAATGTTTCTGTATTTGTAATATCTTGTTTTAAATCGGTCCGCCTGTCACTCCCTGTCTGTTTCCTGTCTCACAGAGGAATTGATTCTATAGGACCAGTCCTGTGAAGGTCAGGGCACTTCTGGCAGGAAAGGCGCCACCCCGCCGCAGACTCACCCCTGCTGACTTGGCGGCGGCTGGCTTCTCCCTGGCCAGATGGACCAGGGAGAGCAGGCACAGCTCCGGGGAGCCTTGCTTGTCAGTGGGCGGCTCCTCGTCGCTGTCTATGCTCCGGCTTAGCAGCTGCTCATTCTCAGAGGAAGCATCGTTCTCGCTGTGGACACAAGAGCAGTCACTGGGCGATGCGGGCGGGGTCTCCCCTGCTCCCCTGCTCCCCGGCCTTTTCAATGTGCTGGGGAGGAGCCAAGAATCACCCTGGACATGTTCCTGTCCGGGTGCGGGGGGCTATGCGGGCGTGTGGGAGAGGAACCACACGTGCTTTGGCCAAGAATGGGACCCAAAAGCTGTTCCTCTCTCCCCCCAGGTGACATGGTACTGCTCACTTCCCCTCTGATTCTCAGCCCCAACCCCTGGCTCAGTTTCTCGAATGTTTCAGTTTCAGTATTTAATCCAGAAGAGCATCAAATTCAACCCTGAATTTTCTTTTTGCTGACAAGTGTATGTGATCAGCATTGAATGTGTGCAATTCTCTCGAAAGCCAAGTAGTAGACAAATCCTGCCAGGAGGCCGCCTCACTTGTACCGCAGCTCATACCTGGGTCCTCGACCTTGGTTTTGTGTGGGAATCTGAACCCCCAAATTTATTCCGGATATATTTTAAAAATAGGCTGTTACAAAAGGTATCCTGCTAACCTCTGGTTTGGCTGACGGTTTTTGCTTTTAAAAAGAAATGTCCGAAGCGTTCAGCCTAAGGACCACATGGAGGGTGCGGGAACCACAGATCCCGGAGGGGAAAAAAAAAAAAAACAGGTTCCAAAAAGAGCCGAGATAACCGGCAAGTTCCAGATGGAGTAGGTGCCGCATCCCGCCTCCCCCAGATGGAACCCCGGTGACCAGAAGCCTCTACAAACACAGCTCGAGTATGCGGGAACGAGGACTTTTTCTCAAATCTGCCGGACTACACCTCCCAGGTAACCTCTGATTCCGGAAGTCACGCCCACAGCCCGCCCCCCAGCGCCATCTTTGAAGCGTTCAGCCTAAGGACCACATGGAGGGTGCGGGAACCACAGATCCCGGAGGGAAAAAAAAAAAAACAGGTTCCAAAAAGAGCCGAGATAACCGGCAAGTTCCAGATGGAGTAGGTGCCGCATCCCGCCTCCCCCAGATGGAACCCCGGTGACCAGAAGCCTCTACAAACACAGCTCGAGTATGCGGGAACGAGGACTTTTTCTCAAATCTGCCGGACTACACCTCCCAGGTAACCTCTGATTCCGGAAGTCACGCCCACAGCCCGCCCCCCAGCGCCATCTTTGAAGCGTTCAGCCTAAGGACCACATGGAGGGTGCGGGAACCACAGATCCCGGAGGGAAAAAAAAAAAAACAGGTTCCAAAAAGAGCCGAGATAACCGGCAAGTTCCAGATGGAGTAGGTGCCGCATCCCGCCTCCCCCAGATGGAACCCCGGTGACCAGAAGCCTCTACAAACACAGCTCGAGTATGCGGGAATGAGGACTTTTTTTCAAAACCGCGCGGCCGCATAAGCGGCCGCGCGACATCTCTCTATATACAAAGTGATCAATGAGAAGTAAACCACCCAATCTTTCTCCCTGAAAATCAGAGTTAAGTTTGGAGCACGGCCACAGCCCCAGAAACACAAGGACTTAATGCAGAACCCAGCAGCTTAGAGCAGAAAAGTGAACGGACGATGCGTTAACCCAGGCCATCATTTCTGCCCAGAGGGGAAAGGGTGTTGCCCCATTCGCCCTCTCTTCTCTGGAAAGAAGGATGGCGGCCACATGGGAGCCTTGTGGACAGCAGGTATGAGCCAGGGGTGTGGGGGCGACTAAAACCTCATGAGAACGGGGGCGTTCCGGTCCGTCCTTCACGCCCTACCGAGGTCAACAGTTGCACCCCACGAGCGGCTCCCCAGCACGGCCACAGTCCCAGAAGCACAAGGACTTAATGCAGAACCCGGCAGCTTGGAGCAGAAAAGTGAAAGAACTATGCGTTAATCCAGGCCATCAAGTCTGCTGGAGGGGAAAGGGTGTTGCCCCATTCGCCCTCTCTTCTCTGGAAAGAAGGATGGCGGCCGCATGGGAGCCTTGTGGACAGCAGGTATGAGCCAGGGGTGTGGGGGCGACTAAAACCTCATGGGAAGGGGGGCGTTCCGGTCCGTCCTTCACGCCCTACCGAGGTCACCAGTTGCCCCCCACGAGTGGCTCTCCAGCACAGCCACAGCCCCAGAAGCACAAGGACTTAATGCAGAACCCAGCAGCTTGGAGCAGAAAAGTGAAAGGACTATGCGTTAATCCAGGCCATCATGTCTGCCTGGAGGGGAAAGGGTGTTGCTCCCTTCTGCCCCCCTCCCTCTGGAAAGAAAGATGGCGGCCACATGGGAGCCTTGTGGACAGCAGGTATGAGCCGGGGGTGTGGGGGCGACTAAAACCTCATGGGAAGGGGGGCGTTCCGGTCCGTCCTTCACGCCCTACCGAGGTCACCAGTCGCCCCCCACGAGCGGCTCTCCAGCACAGCCACGGCCCCAGAAGCACAAGGACTTAATGCAGAACCCAGCAGCTTGGAGCAGAAAAGTGAAAGGACTATGCGTTGATCCAGGCCATCAAGTCTGCCGGAGGGGAAAGGGTGTTGCCCCATTCGCCCTCTCTTCTCTGGAAAGAAGGATGGCGGCCGCATGGGAGCCTTGTGGACAGCAGGTATGAGCCGGGGGTGTGGGGGCGACTAAAACCTCATGGGAAGGGGGGCATTCCGGTCCGTCCTTCACGCCCTACCGAGGTCACCAGTTGCCCCCCACGAGTGGCTCTCCAGCACAGCCACAGCCCCAGAAGCACAAGGACTTAATGCAGAACCCAGCAGCTTGGAGCAGAAAAGTGAAAGGACTATGCGTTAATCCAGGCCATCATGTCTGCCCGGAGGGGAAAGGGTGTTGCTCCCTTCCGCCCTCCTCCCTCTGGAAAGAAAGATGGCGGCCACATGGGAGCCTTGTGGACAGCAGGTATGAGCCGGGGGTGTGGGGGCGACTAAAACCTCATGGGAAGGGGGGCGTTCCGGTCCGCCCTTCACGCCCTACCGAGGCCACCAGTTGCCCCCACGAGCGGCTCTCCAGCACGGCCACAGCCCCAGAAGCACAATGACCTGATGCAGAACCCAGCAGCTTGGAGCAGAAAAGTGAAAGGACTATGCGTTAATCCAGGCCATCATGTCTGCCCGGAGGGGAAAGGGTGTTGCTCCCTTCCGCCCTCCTCCCTCTGGAAAGAAAGATGGCGGCCACATGGGAGCCTTGTGGACAGCAGGTATGAGCCGGGAGTGTAGGGGCGACTAAAACCTCATGGGAAGGGGGGCGTTTCGCTCCGCCCTTCACGCCCTACTGAGGCCACCGGTCCCCCCCGCGAGAGGCTCTCCACCATGGCCACGACTCCAGAACACAGAAACCAATTTTTTAACTATCTGACTTTCAGTAGAAATACTTCCAGGGTCAATAGGTAAAATAGCAGAAATCCAAAACCAACATTTAATTCTTGAACCCAGCTGTAGAAAGCAAATCACTTCACAATGCTTTTTCAGCATGTCTGATTTGGGGGGGGTAAACTCTAAATAATAGTGGTGAATCTTTTATTGAAACAATGAATCTAATCAAAGCAGATAGAGTGTTAACTAGAATTCATCTGCCTCACAGGGACGGGGAGGGGTGGGGGGTGGGGTTTTATTGGGGTTCTTCATGGTAAAAAATAAGTATTGGTAAAGGGAAATGTGTTTGATATTTGCATGACTGAGACATAAACCTGAAAGCTTTGTAACCTTTCCCACAGTGATTCAATAAATAAATAAATAAATTAAAAAAATAAATAAAAAGAAATGTCCTTATAATAATGTTAACTGGGTTATGGTAAAGGGCTGGAGCGGTAGGGCGTTTGCCTTGCACGCAGCCAACATGGCCAACCCGAGTTCAATTCCTCCACCCCTCTCGGAGAGCCTGGCAAGCTACCTGTGATGTATTCGGTATGCCAAACACAGTAACAAGGAAGTCTCCAATGGAGACGTCACTGGGCCCGCTGGAGCAAATCGATGAACAACGGGAAGACAGTGACGGTGATGGGTTATGGTAATAAAACCCAAAACACAAGACAATTGTAGAGGCAAGACATATACAGAAAACCTCAGTAAGTCAATCCCTTGAGGGTCCTAGGGAGTAGAGGAGGTGGAGGCACCATTGCTCCAAATATACTGATCCTCGTCCTAAGCAGCATGGATACATGCTCAGTATCTTGTTTTCTAAAGGACAATGCACAGGTTTTTAATTTTTATTTGACATATGTTTACAAAAAACTTATTTTTCCAAGTGGGGTGTCCCAATTTTCCCTCAGTTTTTTCTTTAATAATTAAGACCCAATATAATTTTTTTATTCTAGTGGTATTTATTTTTTTTATCATATGACCAACAAAAATAGCTTTGATTTAGTATAGCAAAAATCCAGATTTTGAACTTTTTACTTATAAATAACCAATTAGGGAATGATCAGCTTATCAGACAGTGAGGGATTAAACACATAAGGCCTTGCAGATAGGCTAAAAGGTTTTTTTTCCAAGGAAATAGTGTTTTGGGAAAGTTAAAAGTTCAATATTGAGTTGAAAGTTTTAGAAAACAGATACATTACCATGAAACCACAAATATATGGGTGAAATCACATTTTAACAGTTTTCTACTCCCCAAAACAAGTGTCTCTCAATTTCTCAGTCTCGTTCTAATGTTCAAGAAAATAAACAATGTCAATTCTAACATGTGATACTGGTTTTGTTATAGAGGAAAAATAACTATGTATATTTAAAATTTGCTGAAACTAACAATCTATAAGATCATGTCTGTCAGTGGTTAGATAATAAACAATGACAGTGCAGAATGTCACATATTCTTGAAGCCTCAATACCTCATTCCAAACCTTACATTTAGATGTGGATTATTTCAAAATGTACTTTCCGGTTAATGACCTAGAAACCTCCCAAATTGCTAATTTTTTTATTACTTGTTTATTTATTTTTATTATTTGTAGGACTGGAGCGATAGCACAGTGGGTAGGGCGTCTGCCTTGCACGCAGCCAACATGGCCGACCCGAGTTCGATTCCTCCGCCCCTCTCGGAGAGCCCGGCAAGCTACTGAGAGTATTCGATATGCCAGACACAGTAACAACAAAGTCTCCAATGGAGACGTTACTGGGCCCACTCGAGCAAATCGAGCAAAAATTATTTGTTGAGGTAACTGAAGCTTGCAAGGCTACATATTTTAGGAGTTTGCATTTTCCCGTCTTCCCATGCCCACAGAACTGTGCCAGCCTGCTTCTAACCAGTTTACTCCCTGCTACTTGGTGCCCTCGTGATTGAGTTCCCCCCCACCCCCCACACACACCCACACACTCATAACTTGCAGACATATTCCCAGGTTTAAAAGGAATTCACCTGTTTTGCTTCTCTTTATTCCCTACATATGAATAAGATTAACTCATAGTCATTTTCCTTCTTACATATTTAGCTTAACAAATTCCCCTTAAGTTCCATGTTGTTTCAATTATCTTTCCTCGAGTCTTTAGATAAAACTCAAGTATGCTTATCTGAGTATTGCTCTGCCCCTCACCCCACACAACTTTTGGGAAATAAAGAAGGCTAGAACAACAGAAGAGGAATGGATGATACAAGACACATATGCCCACATCAAAACGACCAGAACCCAGACTCCTGGGAGCTCAGACCTGACACTCAGTGAACAGACTTTCACTGACTTCCCTACACAAGTTCCTAGTGATCACTGGGAACAGGGCACTGAGGGACACAATCGCTCTCTTGGGGACCTATGGGAAGGGCAGACACAACTGGCTTTTCTTTCACATTGTGCAAGATTTCAGAATTTATGTTTGCTTACTGCCCTTACATTGTGATTGTTTAGAGTGACTGGAGTTTTCCTATTGAGACCCCATATTATACCAATGCTTGGATTTGTGAAAATTTCTACAAATAAAAGACTTTGCAAAATTTATAAGCTGGGAGTCAGAAAAAGAGGGTGCTAACCTCTGAACTTTCTGTGATAAATCTGGTGATTCTCATGATCCTGTGCCCCCGTCTGCAATGTGAGTGTTTGCACACAGAGCGTCTTGGTATGGCCATAGGTGGAAAAATGTCTATGAAACGAATATCATGATGTAGATGTTTGGACCTAAGCAGAATAGGATCCAAAGGACCACCCAAAGGGACAAAAATTAAAATTGAGCTGCCATATGACTCAGCAATTCCACTTCTGAGTTCCACTCCCAATTTCACTCCCAAGGACACAAAAATATTCATCTAAAAAGACATATGTACACCATTATTCATTGCAGCACTTAGCACAAAAGCTAAGACATGGAATCAACCTATATGTTCAATGAAAGATAAGTGGATCATGAAGATTCCATTGGTATATATGCACAATGGAATACTACACAGCTGTAAGTAAAGATAAAATCGTGCAGTTTGCTGCAGCATGAATGAAGTTGGAAGATACACTTAATGAAGTAGGCCAAAAAAAGGACAAACAGGATGGTATCACTTAAATGTGGTTTGTAGAAGAACTGGATAAGGGTATGAAATATTTGAAGGGAGAGATGCTTACTTAGATCACCCTCCACTCAAGAGTAGAGAGAGGGGGAAAAGGGCAGAAAAGGAAAGAAACTGAGGGGAAAGAAGAGAAATGGGGTGAAGGGCTCAGAGGATCTAAGTCTATCGGGAATGTCAAGGAGTGGCATAGCTAAATATCCAATCACAGAGTCAGTGACACTGAAAGCAAGTGACTTAAACTTCAATAACCAAAATTAAAAATATGTCTGGAAAAATGGCAGACTGGGATGAGAGGGAACCTGGGAACCCTGGTGGAGGGAAGAGGACACTGGTGGAGGGATAGGTGCTGGAACTTAGTTCGTCTAAAATCCAAACATGAGCAATGTTCTAAAATCATGTTTTTTTTAAATAACTTTCTTTTAAAGAAAAGTATACTTCCCTACACTTTAGCTTTAGGTCTGGGACTAATTCCACATCCCAATGTGTGATAATGTGTTAAACCTCTGCTTTAAGAGGTCTCTCTCATCACACCAAGTGTTAGTGGTCAGGCCTGGGGAAGACCCTGAGGCTTAGGCAGCCTGGAGTGGACTCCAGCCCTGCAACTCCCAGACTGTGTGACTCTTAGGCCTTTAACAGTTACAAATAGGAAGCCCTTGTTCCCAGGGCTGAGCTGAGGCACACAGACTCAACAGATGGTGACAACTTCATTCAACATCACCAAGTGCCTCATTTCAGCAGGAAAGGACCGTTACTGCTAACTCTGACACTATGATGTCAATCGTAGTGGCAACAGCAGCGGTAGCATTAACTAGACTTCAGGAAATGAAGGGGAGTACACAAAAGTTCTGGGTCTGAACTAGAGAGGGATTTTGATGAGGGAGGCAGGATATCTGGGGTGTCTGACTCAGGAGGGTGGCTCCCGAGATCATGCTGATTGACTCTGTCCTTTCACCCACTAAAAGAGAGCAGTGTTAGGCCTGCCACTAAGCTTCCCTGTGATCCCCGTCAAAGTCAGCTCCCCTTCATCCTCAGACCCTCTCCTTTAACCTCAAGGTTCCTAAAGCTGGGTCTCTACTACTCTGAAAAATGGCAGCCCTGGTTTGACTTACCTTTTAGCTGTCTTTGCTGGAGTTGCTGTGAGCTTCTCAAATTCATCCTTTTCAGAGAAAATGACGACATTGTCTGTAGGTACAATGGGGAGAACGAGGCAGTGAAGAGTTAGGGTAGACTCCGCTCAGAACACATCCTTCTCCTGCTCACTTTCTTCTTAGCACTTAGCATCACGACTAAACACCACGTCCAAAGGAGGAAGCAGAAACACCACTTTCCCCACACTCCCCAAGTGGCATGGAAGTGTAAGCAGTTATAGGAAGTCAGGCTCCCAAGGCAACAACAAGAGAAAGACATGCTGTGGAGCTCTATTTGCAAACCTTGGCTCTCTTTCTTCTCCTCTTCTTTGCTAACTTGAGCTTCTACACTCTTCACTGGATGACTGGTGCAGCAGGCTGGTGGGAGAAGGAAAGATACAAGTAGCTAGAATCTTGACTGGGCAAGTTTACAGTTGTTCCATAAGAAGGGATGCGGGTAGGTGCAGGGACAGTGGGGATCAGTCACCTGGGGCAGAAGGTTTTGTCTTCATGATGTAGAACATGATGATGAGGACAATGGCGATGGCCATGATGAAGATGGTAGACATGGCAATGATCAGGGCCGTGGCCAGGTGTCCTTGGCCTGAGAACTCTGCTGGAGTTTGGAGAGAAGGTAATGACCTGGAAGGGAGTCCCTACAAGGACCGATAAGCTAGACAGGTCCTCCTTCCCCAAGACCACTGTCCCTGCAAACACTGGCACTGCTATTGGAATTCCTTGTGGGATCCTCAGGATCCAAGACATATACTCAATTTGAGGGTCACATCAGGGTTGTAATGTGACAGGCACTCACTTTGCTGGTCTCAACCAAGACTGCTCTATATTTCTTTAGAACATAATTTAGTGTCAATTTGTTTTCTAGGGTTACTGCTCTTGGTTATAGTATTTTTGAGACTCTTGCAAAATGGAGTGGAGAGGAAGAGAGACCTTGGAAAAAAGGTGTCTTGAGGGAAACCCAATCAAAATTTCTTTCAAACTAGAGTGGGGATGTAAATGTCAACTCCAAGGGTCAAAGATGTTATTGTTTCTTGGTTAGCTACCTGTGTCACTTGCAATTTACATCTGGTTATAAGAGTAAAAAATATAAAGCAGGGAGATGGTGTGCAGATGACACATCTAATTCTCTGTTCAGTTACCCCCCCCCCCCCACATTAGAGACTTGCTTTGCTTTTCTGTGTAAAATGTGTCAATGACTATTCCAATCATCTTATATAACTAAGTAAGGTTATGGTTCTCATGAAGCAAATCTAGTTTAACTACCACCCCAAAATGGGAAGAAAACAAGCCCTAGAACAGAATACCTAGTACCATCCCAGGAAGTATGTGACACAGTTTTAACAAATAGCTCCAAAGTTGAGAGTCGAGAGTTTTCAGTTCCACAGCTGACATCTCCTGAGTATGGGGAGTATCTTCAGAGGACGTTATCTCAGGATGTCACTCAGAGATAATAGTAACATAATTGTGAGGTCAGGTGTGGATGAGATACATGTTTTAATATTCTCTGAGTTGTTTTCTACTTTCCCCAGGTTCTGATGAAATGAGGCTTGTGAACCTGCTTTCCTGCTTTTAAGGCTTAGGAGGATCAGCTGGGAGTCTGTGAGAGTCTGCGGGTGTCCCCTGTCTCAAGTAATGGCACTTATGGGACCAAACAGCTGAGAGGAAGAAGGGCTAGAAAAGTTCTTTCTCTGAAAGGAAGTGGGTCTCAAGATCCTCAATCTTCTCTGTCCCACAAGGAGTAGGAGTAAAATGTAGTGATTGCTAATTAATATCAAGTGTTAAGGCATTTGGTTTACTTGAAACCTGGCAAAAACTGGCAGTTGTTTGACCCAAACATCTCTGTGGGAGGGGGGGATTATCCTCTTTGTCCCCTCCCAGAGGTCCCCAACGTCTCCGGAAACGTGCCTTTCTGTCTAGTCCTGAGGATAGTCCAGGACACTGACCAGGAACCTTTCGTTGCTGACCCTAGCAGTTGGGCCTAGGTGTGAGCGCCTGGCAGGGTCTGAGGGGAAGAGCAGCGGTCATTGCTGATATTTTCCCACCTTCTATCTCCCTTCAGTCTCCCTCAAGTCTCATGACTCCGGGAGACAAATGCCCACATTCTCCTTACCTTTGTGGGCATGCTGGGAGGGAGAGAGAGTGCTACTTCCAGATGTGCCAGGGTGGTTGGCAGAGACTCCAGAGGTGGCTCTCACACCTGCAAGGATAACACAGTCACATCTCCAGCAATGACCCAGAAAAGCCCTGCCCTTGGCCCATATGTGAGCCTCACAGTAACTTACCTTGACACTAGATTCTGAGTGAGCTGAAGAGAGGGAAGAAGGGGAACAGTTTCATTTTATGCAGTGTTGAATAATCCCCACCAAGCATCCCAACATCTTTTTATCTTTAAGACAGAGACTTCTTAGATACTCCAGCTGAAATGAACAGTGATGGCTTTACAAGTCTTACTTAGTTTTCCTAATAACTGAGAAAAAAAGAAATCTGTAAAAATAAAAAGAGTATGTACTAAGGATAGTGGAAACAAGGGGTCGGGAGGAATGGTTCATGGTTAGAAGCTTGCCACAAGTGGTGGCGGCAGGAACTAAGATAGAGAAGGGACCACTATGCCAAAGATAGTTGGAAATGATCACTCTGGGCAAGAACTGAGTGCTGAAAGTAGGTAAAGTGACAAATGTGATAACATTTCAGTATCTGTATTACAAACCATTAATGCCCAAAAGAAGAGAGAGAGAGAGAGAGAGAGAGAGAGAGAGAGAGAGAGAGAGAGAGAGAGAGAGGAGAGATAAAATGCCTGCCATAGAGGAAGACTTTGGGGAGGAGATGGGGAGGGAAACTGGGGACATTGGTGGTCAGAAATGTGCACTGGTGAAAGGATGAATGATGAAACATTGTATGACTGAAACCCAATCATGAACAACTTTGTTACTGTATATCTCATGGTGTTTCAATAAAAAATTTTAAAAAAGGAAAAATAAGAGGATTACGTATATAATAAAAGAATTGGCAGGGAGAATGACATTTGAGTAATTTCTTAAATCATATAAAACACAAATTAATTTTTTGTTGTAAAAAGATTATATTCTCATTATTAAAAATCTGGGACAAACACAATAAATACATGACTCACCCCAGCTTCACTGTCTAGAATAAACATTTTGTTGGCTTTTTCTCTACAATTTTTCTATGATTTTTTTTTTATAGTTCTGATGTGGCCAAACTAAGACGAACTTTGCCTTCCCTCAGAACTAGCACTCATAAGCTCTACTTGTGTGTAGAAAGTGTGAAAGCAGGGCAGAAGGGAAGCTGATTTTGTGATCAGTCTACTTACTAAAGAAGTTTGGTAAAACAACACAAAAATGTTCTGCTTTATGGAAATGGAAAGGATTACTTCTTGATTGTCAGCATTCCTAAAGGCCAGCTTGCTTTTGCAATGAATAAACATGATTGCTTCAAGTTAATTTCCTCTGTCTTGATCTTGTTGCTGCTATTTTTGACATAAATTGTAGAGTGGGTTTGCCCTGAGTCATAGAGGGAATCTCCCTCCCTCCAGTTAAGAGGAATCAGTGCTCTCCCAAAGCTGGAGAAGAGCACAATGCTTGGACTTTGGTCAGCCTATGGCAAGACTTCTGTGAAAGAGAGGGAGCTTCTCTCCATGAGAGACTCTTAGTATGAACAACTGTGTGCTCTACGAGGTGTTTCTAAAGCTGGTCGCACACACAGCTTGGTAACCACAGTCCTGTTGGCTCATCCACACACCTAAGTCCAGGAAGCAGGGAATGTCCCAGGAAAGCAGAGTTAGAAACGCCTTTCTAAAGCAGAAAACTCAATAAATAAAATAGGGTGGAGGTCTAGGAGGACATGGGTACAAACTGGGGACTGTCCCCATCCTGGCATCATCTGCATGGTCTGCGGGTACCTCATGTCTCAGGGCAAGTCCTTACATCATTCATTGGGTAAAGTAGGAAATCAACTGCTAGGGATGTCTGTGAATGATGCTGTCTGTTAGCTGAGTGTCAAAAATCAGGCTTCTCCTGCAACAAGACTTCTCTCACAAAATCTGGGATTGTGAAGAAGATTCCCCTAAGTCCTTCATAAGAGTAGATTGGCATGGGGTTTGCTTTCTAACAGACTCCCAGGCTGCCTCTGCAGCCTTCCAAATAATTGAAAACATCATTTTGCTAAGTAAGGGAAACATCTATGCCTTTCTCTGGTGTAGATGCCAGGGTGCCCACTGTTCTCAGTACAGGGTGACCTTTACATCAAAGGAAGCTAAAGTGACTGAGTTTGTGTCTCTGGAACCTGCCCCTTCTGTCTGTCCTGCTGGTGGGGTCACCCTGCAGCTACTCCTGGCAGAGATATGTTGCTGGGGAAAGCTAGCATGTGTTTTTTATTTTTCTTTTGTATTTTATTTTCTTTTATTAAATTTTTTATTTAATTATTTTTTAATTAGTTTAGGTCAATTAGTTCTGATATTAGTAACATGTATGGTTTTGAGATACAGTCTCTGCACCTCACCCCATCAAAGGGTCCTAGACTGTCCTACCTTTATTTCCGGCCCACTTCTTCCTTCCCCTCTTTTCTCTCTGACTGCTCAGTAATCTTAGTTTTATAAGGCCTAAGGTTTATCATTGTTCAATACCATCTGTTCCCTTGCTCTGCTTCTTTATATAACATGATGAGGGAGATTATCCTGCATTTATCTTACTCTCTTGGACTTAATTTGCCTAATGTGATACCAATTCCAATCAAGTTGTAGAAAAATGCAATGTTTTATCATTCTTATAGCTGTACAGTGCAAACACACATTATGTGGGGCTGGAGCGATAGCACAGCGGTAGGGAATTTGCCTTGTACGCAGCCAACATGGCCAACTCGAGTTCGATTCCTCCGCCCCTCTCGGAGAGCCCGGCAAGCTACTGAGAGTATCTTGCCCGCATGGCAGAGCCTGGCAAGCTACCCCGTGATGTATTCGATATGCCAAACACAGTAATAACAAGTCTCCAATGAAGACGTTACTGGGCCCGCTTGAGCAAATCGATGAACAACGGGAGGACAGGGACAGTGACAGTGATATATGTCACAAGTTTTTTATCCATCCATATGTCATTGGACATTTGGGTTGTTTTCCTGACCATAGCAGTCAGTATTCTATGAACAAAGGTTTGTCTGTATCTTTCTAATTAATATTTTAGTGTTTTAGGGATAGATAGATACCAAGAAGTGAAATTTCTGAGTCATGCAGAAACTTCGTTCTGAGTTTTTTTAGATAATCTTTGTGCAGTTTCCCATAGGAATAGAAACAAATGACATTCCTACTGCAGTGTATCAGAGTTCTTTTTCATCACATCCCCTTCAACACTGATTTTTCTGTAGTTTTTTGGTATTTGCCATTGTCATTGGAGTGAGAGGCTATTTCACTGTCGTTTTCATTTGTACTTCTCTCGTAATAATTGAATATGAGCACTTTTTCATATGCCTACTGGCCGCTGAATGTCCTGTTTGGGGAAGCATTTATTCATCTCCTCTCTCAATTTTTTGATGAGATTACTAATTTTGAGGTTGAACTTTATTCGTAATTTATAGGTCTTGGATTTATCTGAAGTACTATGTATAAATATTTCCTCCCATTAAATAGGGCGTCTTTAAATTTTAGCCTGAGTTTCTTTTGCCTCTTTTAAATTTGATGTATTTTCAACTTTATTTTTGCTTATTCTATTGTCTTTGCCAGTGGAGTCAAGTCATTGAAGAAACTTCCGAAGTCCTTATCTTGGAGAGTTTTTACAATGTTTCTCTCTATGTGTTTTATGGGTTCTGGCCTTCTCAAGGTCTTTGATAAGCTTTGAACTAACTATTGTGGTGTCAGGTTCACACCCATTTCCCCAGCATCATTTGTTGAAGAGATTTTCCTTGCTTCAACTCAAACCCAAGTTTTTTGTCATAGATTGACTTTACAACAGTATGAATATTGATCTTTGGGCTCATAATTATATTTCATTAATTTGAAATTCTCTATTTGTTGCCGTAATACACAGTTTTGATTATAGTAGAACTGAATTTTATCGCAAAACTGATAGTTGAAAGTGAACTTTATAGTAGAACTGAAAGTCATTGAATGCAATATCTCCCATCTCTTTTATTTCTCCAAATGGCTTTTGCTTATCATGGAATATTATGAGTCTATAAAAATTTTAGATTTGTTCTTTTAAAAATAATTATTACAGAAATTCTCATGATCGATCACATTCAATATTCCAACACCAATCCCACCACCAGTGCACTTTCTCACCACCACCATTATTTGCAATTTTCCTAACCACCCCTCAAGCCTGCCTCTATAGAAGGCCCTGAATAATTTATTTTATATTGCTTGTTATAATTCACTAAAAATGATCAAAAAATACTTCCTTAGAAGAATTTGTGTGAATATTATTGCGTCTCACCATGGGGCCATTAAGCCTTTGTAGAAGAGATTACTAATATGTTGTTACAGGTTAAGCCTTATGTGTTTATATTTTCTAAATCAGATTGGTTACCTTCTACTTTACAACCATCCAGTGTGATATGCTTCTTGTGGTCTATCAGTGGTGTAGAGTTTGAGATGTCCACAGTTCCTGAATGTTCCAGAAATTCACAAATTTTGAATGGGGTGAAACAACTGAAGTTAATTTTTTTTTTTTTTTTTTTGCTTTTTGGGTCACACCCGGCAATGCACGGGAGTAACTCCTGGCTTGGTACTCAGGAGTTACTCCTAGCGGTGCTCAGGGACCATACGGGATGCTGGGAATCGAACCCGGGTTGGCCATATGCAAGGCAAATGCCCTACCCGCTGTGCTATCTCTCCAGCCCTGGAGTTAAATTTTTAACTGGATGGTGACTTTGGGTGCCCTGAACAACAGGCGTGGGGTCGGGACGCATCTCTGCAACTTGTTGATCTATTTTGAAATTTGTTTATGAGTGTCTGGATCATGGCTGGTTAATAAGCTTATTTGGCTGAGAGTCAGTTCATGAAAGTGACAGCCAGGCTTCTGGAAAATCAGATTGCCCATCCCCCACTCTGTGAACGCCTGTAGTTCCAAAACCCGCATACCTGAGTTTTTTAACAGATCAATTTCTGGATGAGGCTAGCCATGAAAGGGCAGTGATTGTGAAGTGTGGAGGGTTTTGGCTGCAGGGGCTTTGTTTGGGTGGATAGTG